CAGAGCTGTCCTGTCCTCACCTGTGGAATGGACCAGTGCCTGGGTACCAAGATCTAGGATCCACATGCCCGAGACTCTTGAATGCCCACAGGTGGTGCCCCTGGCACCTGACCTTTACCTGGAAGGAGCTGGAGGGCACTGGGCTGGCCCATGGGAGACCAGTGGCTTCAGCTGAGACGTGGACAGTAAAAGCTCACCCAGGCTGGCAGCTCATGCAGGGACAGCCAGGCTGCCAAACAGGCCAGACCTGCAGGGGCCGCTACCTCCCCCTCCCCCCACCCCCTCCATGCTGGTCACTGAACTCGCAGGAGGCAGTGAAGCACATGGTTCAAACCTTACATTTTGGGGTCATCTGGCCTAGGTTCAAATCCAAGTTATTTCTTTTCTGTTGGTAAGGTGTTTCCTCTTACCAACCATTTCCTATCTGCAGAATGGGTTTACCTCCTTGGGTTGTTATAAGGATTTAGTGAAATCACTCCGTGTGGCAGTAATTATTACCGCCTGGCTTTCTGGCATTTGTTTCCAGTGCTTAAGCCCTCAGCTCTTGCCTTCCCTTCCCTTTTTAGTTTCTTCCTGTTCCCTGGACCAGCCATCCAGGGGATGTGGAACCTCCCAGTAGCATCATCATGACAGCTAGCCTGTCGATTCAGTAGGAGTTCTTTTTAATGTAGGGCGTGTCTGCATTGTCCCATCCAAAGCAGGGTGTGAGACCGCCTGGAGCCACAAAAACTTTTTCCTCCTGGCAACTCTGTGAATTCATGAAATCCATATTACTGTCTGTGCAGGGTCAGGGACCTGGCTGCCGGAGTCGGCAATGTTGTGTGCAGGCCAGGCAGTGTCATACCACCAGGGGGCGCTGCCAGGCTGGACGCTCTTCCCGTTTCTCATGGAGGCAGAATCCGAAGTCCTAGATTTGAAATTTAGGCAAGGGGGCTGTGGGCAGGTAGACTGCACGTTGAAGGTCTGCCACCTGGCGGGCCGGGAGTGGCAGCAGTGACCCTTCACGTCACTTGGGCCCATTACAGATTGCCTTCTGTTCCTCTAAGTGCCATTCCATCTGATGACTAAGGGGATAATGCCCAGATAACAAGCTGGGGCTCAGAGAGGTGAGCAGGCTGCTGGTTGAAGGCCACACAACTGGCAAGTGGCAAAGCAGAGACCCCTCCTGAGCTTGCCTGATGCCAACCCTGGAGATCCAACACTTGACCAGCAGGAGAGGCTGAATGGTGAGGGGGAAGGAGTGCATCCTGGGAGACTGGAGCTGGGCCTGAGTCCCACCCTACCTCCACCCAGTACAGCTGACCATTCCTATCCACTCCTTTCTCCTCCTGAAACCTCATGGATGGGATGGCATCTCAGGGAGCTTCTCCTCTATTTGGGGGAGTTCGTGAGGGGCCCAGGATAAGCATGAGCCCAAGAAGTGATTTTCCTGGCCCACAACCTAGCCTCTTTAGAGACGATTTTCAGTCTTGCCAGAAACTTTCACATGTCCCAACTAGCCATGGACATCCCAGCTTGCAACTGCACCCCAAGTCTGGGGCAGGTGCTGGGCTAGATGGAGTCTGGGCACCTGTGCTAACCCAGGGTGCTGAAAGCCACCATTCACTCTACATTGTGCCCCAAGCTGAATGCTACATATGCAGCCTCATTTAACCCGCACGCCAGCCCTCTGAGGCACTATTACAATCTCCATTTTACAGGTGGGGAAACAGAGGCTCGGAGAGCAACTTAGCAAATGTGGAGAGGAGGCTCCCCCTCCCCCCATCTCTACCACTGACTGGCTAGATACATGAGGGGTGGGCAAGCTGGGGTCTTAACCTCTGCTTGGGATCTGGAGAATGTAAAGAGCATGAGGACTGGTTGTCCTTCAGCAAAGTTTTCCTGGGCACTGACTTGGAGAGGAAGGAAATGTGGGCCTTTCAGGAGCTTATGAGCCCAGGAGCTCAGACAGGTCCCCACTGGAAAATCAGTGGCAGCAATACCTGTGAGTGAGCATGTGTAGTCCAGCAAGGGCGACAGGGGCTGTGTGATCAGCCGAGGCTTTCAGGAGGAGGGGAGACTGGAACTGGTCACCAAAGGGTGAGGAAGAGTGTGCTCTGAAGAGGGGAGGCACGGGAGACTTTTTTTTTTTTGATCCTCACCTGAGGACATTTTTCCATTTTTTGTTCAGATAGAGTGGGAGGGAGAGAGAGGGAGAGAGAGAGAGAGAGAGAGAGAGAGAGAGACATCGACGTGAAACGAACACATCACATCGAGTCGCTGCCACCAGCACGACCAATCAGGGCCGGGGACAAACTGCAACCGAGGTATATGCCCTTAGCGGGAACTGAACCCGGGTCTCTCTGGACCGCAGGCTGCCGCTCTAACCACTGAGCAAAACTGGCCAGGGTGAGACTTTTAAGCAAAGGCCCGTGCATTAGGGTCTCTGGCTGGGTAGGGAAACAGCAGAAGAATGGGGGCTCCTTTCTGGGGCACACCCTTGGCCTGCAGGACATAGATAAAGTGCAGGAAGACACTGGGTGTCCAGGGAAGGGGGTCCTCGAGGAGCAAATGCGCTATGATGTTGGAACCCATGTCAGTGGAAAAAATAAGGTTTTGCATTTAGCATCATCAGAGAACTGCATGCCTCCTCCGTGTGTGTCCCTGTGGGAATGTGGATGTGTGAGTGTACGTTTGAAGCCTTATGTCAAAGTCCTTTTACATCCATGATCTCTTTTTACTTGCCCAACGACTCTGAGAGGTTGGCTGGAGAGAAATATTCTCAAGGACAAATGAGAAAACAGAACCCCAGCAGAATGAAATGTCTTGCCCGGGGTCATAGGGCTCAACGGTTGAAAAGCCAAGACCCATCTCAGGCTCCCAGCCCCAGCTCTATGTTCCTGGCCCTCACCTTCTGTCCAGACCCCATCCTGCCTCCCAGGACTCTGTATGCCACAGGGCACTGCCACTCCCAGGGCATATGCTCCCCTGGACTCTGGACTGTGTGTGAGCCCTGCATTTTCACAGGAAAATCCCCACCTGGTCTGGCAGTGAGAATGCAGGACTGAAACCAGAAAGAGGAAGATCTCAGTGGCTGCAGAGGCCAGAGCCCAGGGCCAGGTCAAAGGTCCAGCTTCTTTTTCTGTTCCCAAACTGCTTTGAGCAACCACCACTGCCTTGAGGAGGAGCTGCCACAGAAGGGACCTGTGAGGAGTGAAGCCCTGTGTTGGTTCTTTTTTTTTAAAGACAAGAGTGGAAGGGAGGGAAAGAGAGAGAGAAACACTGATGTGAGAGAGACATCGATTGGTTGCCTCCTTCACGACCCCAACCAGGGCCAGGGTTTGAACCTGCAACCCAGGTACGTGCCATTGACCAGTAATTGAACCCGTGACCCTTCAGTTCGAGGGCCCACTCTCTAACTGCTGAGCCAAACCGTCCAGGGTGCTGTGCTGGTTCTTCAGGGTAGCCTTTGGGATGTGGGTCTTGGGTGAGGGCCTATGTTTGACCTCTTCTTTCTAGAATCTCCTGTGAAACGGTACAAAGAACTGAGGGTCTGGAGCGTTTTCTTGTGGCCCAATAACAGGGGGCACTTGCAAAGGTCTCACTTTGTGCCAGGTACTGCTCTGAGTGGTGTGTGTGTGCGCGCGTGTTCAATGAATCTTCACAAGCACTTCAGGAGGAAGGCAGCCTTATTGTCTCTGTTTACAGGTAAGGAAAGGGAAGCACAGAGAGGTTCAGTGACTTGCCCAAGGTCACTGAGTTTGTATGTGGCAGAGCTGGGGTTTAAGCCCAGAACACTTGCCTCCAAGAGCTATTCTGCCTGCTATTAATAATAACCAAAAGTACAATTTGACTACTATCTCCTTTGTGTCTGGTACTTCGTTCCTCACAAGGCAGAGACCTAGGCATTGATGTTCTCTGCATTTCATTTCAAAGATGAGTAAATCGGGGCTTAGCCAGCAGCCTGGGTTGCTGGGGTGAGGTGACTTCAGATCCTCGCAGATGCTACCTCTGGCTAAATCCGAAGCTTGCACCCTGCTCAGCCTTTTGAGGGCCCGTGTGACTTACTGTGTGACTCCGGGAAGGCACATTCCGTTTTAGGGCCTCAGTTTCCCTATCACCTAAGCCTGCTGCGCCTGGCCGCCTCGCCCCCGTAAACGGCAGAACGAAGTTGCGGCGTTGTGGGGAGCGCGGGTCCCGGGACGCTCCGGAGCCTTTCCCTTCCCTGTTGACCCCCACCCCCACCGCCCAGGAGAACGACTGGTTAGAGACTTAGGGTGGAGGGATGGACCGTAAGGTGCTGGGTGCGGAAATTCGATGCTGCCTCCCTGAGAAGTCAGCAAAGCCGAACAGAGAAGGCCCAGCTCTGATTTGAGGAAGGGCCCAGAGGCCACGTGCTCGGGCAGTTCTACTGCGAGCTGACCGTCCTCTGGAAAAGAGCAGCGCTCCCAACGGGAGGAGGGGCAGGGGAGGGAGAGCCAGAGGAGGCCGATTCTGGGCAGGAGAGGTGGGGGTAGGGGGCGGTGGAGAGGACGCGGACAAAGGAGGCGGCCGGCAGCCCAGCTGTTTTGAAAAATGCTTCCTGTTTCTTTAAAGGCGCTCGCGGCTCGGGCGGCCGGGCTGGGAGGCGGTGGCGGCGGGAGCTGCCTGCTCTCCGAGCGGCGGCGCTGACTGATCTCGCGAACCGGGCTTCTGTGTAAACTGAGGCTAAACAAACACAGATGGAGCGCAGCGGGCGTGCTCCAGAAATGCTGGCACAGCGGCAGCGACTTCAGATGACACTCTGAGCGCTCCGGGAACGGACTGCCCGGCGGCTTCGCGGAGCCGGCGGCGCAGCTGCCCCGGGCGCAGGGGAGAGAGGAGAGAGGGCGGGAGGGGAGGGGGGCGAGCAGGGAGAGCGCGAGCCTCCGAGGCGCCGAGAGCGGCGGCCGCCGGGCAGAGCCGGGCGCCGCGTGCAGAGCGAGCGTGGCGGGCGCGCTTCCCGGGCAGCCCACGCCTCTGCCTCGCGCGCTGCCCGCGCCATGAAGCACATCCCCGTTCTCGAGGACGGGCCGTGGAAGACCGTGTGCGTGAAGGAGCTGAACGGCCTCAAGAAGCTCAAGCGGAAAGGCAAGGAGCCGGCGCGGCGCGCGAATGGTTATAAAACTTTCCGATTGGACTTGGAAGCGCCCGAGCCAGGCGCCGCGGCCACCAACGGGCTGCAGGACAGGACCCAGCGGCTGCAGCCAGTCCGGACCCCGGTGCCAGCCCCAGCGGCGCCGGCCGTTCCCTCAGGTGGAGGCCCGGACCCCGCTGGGGAGCGCGGGGGCGCCCGGGCGCCGGAGGTCTTGGACGCGCGGAAACGCGGCTTCGCCCTGGGCGCTGTGGGTCCGGGACTCCCCACGCCGCCGCCGCCGCCGCCTCCAGCACCCCAGAGCCAGGTACCCGGGGGTCCCGAGGTACAACCTTTCAGGGAACCTGGCCTGCGTCCCCGCATCTTGCTGTGCGCACCGCCTGCCCGCCCAATGCCGTCCGCGCCCCCTGTGCCTCCGGAGACCTCAGTGCGTCCTGCGCCCCCCACGCGCCCGGGGGAAAGTTCCTACTCGTCAATTTCACACGTAATTTACAATAACCACCCGGATTCCTCCGCGTCGCCTAGGAAACGGCCCGGCGAAGCGACTGCCGCCTCCTCCGAGATCAAAGCCCTGCAGCAGACCCGGAGGCTCCTGGCGAACGCCCGGGAGCGGACGCGGGTGCACACCATCAGCGCAGCCTTCGAGGCGCTGCGGAAGCAGGTACCGGCTCCCAGCCGCACACCCTCACTGCGCCCGGGGATGGCCAGAGTGGGTGGGTGAGTGTCCTGGGAACTTTAGGGAGGGGACGGGTGTGTGTGAGGGGCAAGTGGTCCCCGCGCGGTCGGCCCCAGGACCCAGACAGGTTTGGGGCCTCCTGGAGTAGTGACCTTTGCCACAGCGTCGGTAGGTATCCTAGTTTGCAAAGTGGGGGTGAAGGTGCCCCCCAAGGCATGCTCTGGTCCTCCCTGCCCCTCCCCACAGAGTTCCCTGTCCGCGCGTCAGACTTCAGCACCCATAGTTAACTTTTACGGCAGCGAGTATTTGTCTCCCGGAGTACCTTGGGGGCAGTGGAGAGTGGAACGGGGCAATGTGGGAACCTCTCTCGGCGGGGAAAGGGAGAAGACCTTCCCTTCAGGCATTTGGCATGGTCCGGGTCTTCGGGGGGGCCCCAACGCTGCAGAGCGGTGGTCCTGGGGTTTCAGGAATCTAAGGGTCCCGCATTCCCGCTTCAGTCCCTAGCTCCCAGTAGGGATGCCTCTGCACTCAGGTTGCTTTTGTGCTCTGCATCCCTAGCCCTGGTGTCCTTCGTGACGGGGCTCCAAGCCTGCTACTTCTCCCCAGGGACGGCCTCCCAGGAGACCCCCTCCACCGCTGTTCTTCATTCCTTGGTGAACAGGCAGGTCTGCTGAGGGGACTGGTTAGTTGGGGGACCTTCAGAGTCTAGTTTTGGGGTGGGTTAGGGGCTTCTCAGTTTAGGCTGGTGGGGTCTACCCTCATCCTACAGTGTCTTGGGCAGGCGATGGGTGGGGAGGGACAGTTTTACAATTCTGCTTTTTAGACAAGATTGCCCTGGGGTTCTAGTCTTCTCTTTTTCTTAGAGAGAAGGGAGCTCTAAGAAGAGGTGGTAATGCCCCTTGCTCCCACCCCACACAGGGAATGCAAAAGGGCAAGGGGTGGATGCTACTGGTTTGAGCAGTCAGGTTTTTTTTTTCTTCTTACTTAGTAGCTGACTTCCTGTGTGATTCCAGGGAAGTTACTCAACCTCTCTGGGCTTTAGCCAACAGCAAAACAGTTCAGAAAACATGATCTTCTTTTTTTGTTTGTTTGTTTTGTTGTTGTTGTTAATCCTTACCCTAGGATATTTTCCCATTGATTTTTCTTTTTAAAATATTTTTTCTTTATTGATTTTAGAGAGAGAGAGAGAGAGAGATAGAAACATTGATGAGAAAGAACATCGATCCGCTGCCTCCTGCATGCCCCCCACTGGGGACTGGGCCCACAACCTGGGCACATGTCCTGACCAGGAATCGAACCGGTGACCTCCCAGTGCATGGGTCGATGCTCAACCACTGAGCCACACCGGCTGGGCTTCCCACTGATTTTTTTTTTTTATCCTCATCCGAGGACATTTTTCAATTTTTTGTTCAGATAGAGTGGGAGGGAGAGAGAGGAAGGGAGAGAGAGAGAGAAACATCGATGTGAAAGGGACACATTGAGTGGCTGCTTCCCGCACGACCCAGCCAGGGCTGGGGACAAACTGCAACCGAGGTACATGCCCTTAGTGGGAACCGAACCCGGGCCTCTCTGGACCACAGGCCGACGCTCTAACCACTGAGCTAAACCGGCCAGGACCCCACTGATTTTTAAATAGAGTGGAAAGAGGGAGGGAGATCTATGTGAGAGAGATGCATTGATTGGCTGCCTCCCACAGTACCTGGACTGGGAATCGAACCTGCGCCCTTTCAGTCAACGGGCTGATGCTATAACCGCTGAGCAAAACCAGCCAGGGCGTGATCTTTTTTTGGGTCACACTCTGCTCTTCCTCCTGTGGGTGGGGTGGGCAGCGGTGCCTGTGTCCATCCATGGGAAGGGAATTGAACTGCTGGGGGAGAGAGCTCTGTGACTTTTGAGCCAAAGTGTCTTGCTTGGGTTTGGGTAAGATGTTTGCTCAGTGAGTTGGAGTAGAGAGGTCAGGTAGCTGACACAGACCAGGCTGGGCCACTGACCTTAGCCATGCCAGTTGGGACCCTGGGCAGTGGGCCCAGTGGAGCAGTCAGTATGCCTGGGGAGGGCGGCAGCCTGTAGAGCGCCTTGCAACCCACCCCTCAGGACAGAAGGATGACAAGGCCTGTCCACCTGCTCACCTCGCAGCTAGGGAGACCCTTCCCAGATCGGGGAGGCCGTGTGCCCAGAGCATCACAGCTGGTGAGAAGCAGGGCAGGGCCAGCACCTAGGTCCTTTGACTGCCAGTTCAGGGCCCTTTCTCTCCCTCTGCCTTCCTCTCTCCGTGAGAATATTTACCGGTGGTGAGACTGAGGCTCAGAGAGCTTATGTCAGATGATTGAAGCCTCACAGGTTTTGTACCACACGCCTCCTTGGCGTGCCGTTCGCTAGTCTCCAGTGTGCTGGTGCCTCCTTGGCACGGTGTCCGTGCAGCCTGCATAGCTGTGTACCACTGTCATTGCAGAGCCTGGCTTCGATTTGGTGTCAGTGATTTGCTCCAGCGCCCAGGCTCTTGACAGCTTTGCCCCTCAGCCTGTTGAATGCCCCAGAGCTGTCCACCCTGAGCACGAGGAAGCCAGGCAGCCTCCTGTCTTGTCCATCCCACTTTCCTCTCAGCCAGGCAGGGAGCATGTGGGGAGGGGCTGCTTAGCTACAGAGGTGCAGGTGGGGGACAGGCCCTCTGGTCTGGCGGGGCTGTGACAGTCAGGCCAGGGTGGTGGGTATGCGAGGCAGATGGTCAGGTCTCAGCGCATGCCACCAGCCCAGCTGCATAGGGCCCTCCCTGCCGTCTCATGTGAAGGCCATGTGTGCACAGCTGGGCCTGGCCCATGTGCAGGGCTGCTCTAGGACCAGGTGGGAAGGGTTCGAAGGGGAAGCCTGGCCTTGCGGGTGGGTGGGAGGAGGGGCCAGAGCTGTGGGCCTCAGGCTCCTGGTGGAGCCCTCTGGCTCACAGACTGTGCTTAACCTTGGGGCATCCGGTATGTGTGCAGATTGCCTCTCCCCCCTGAGAGTGGGAAGCCCCTCGGCCTTGGAGGAATGGCAGCCTTGCGGGCAGAGGCCTGAGGCATCATTGGGGAGCTCTCAGGACCTGTTGAAGTGCCTCTTCATTCAGGAAGTGCCAAGTGGGTGGGGCCTCGGCTCCATGTCTGCTGCCCCTGGAGTCTCTCAGGGGATCCTCACCAAGGGGACTTAGGGTGGCCCAGGACTGGCTGTGGGGAAGGTGCCCCACCCCCGGACCTCTCTCAGCCTCAGCCCCTCTGTCCTGCTCCCTCATATCCACAGTCACCAGGGCGGCAGCATAGGAGCCTTGTGGCATTGGGCCTGTGACTGGGTATCTGTAGTGCCCCCTCCCCACGTTACACTTGAGGACACTTACAGAGAAGATAATTAAGTGACCAGGATCTGTATCTAGGCCTGTCTGGCCCTGGGGCCATGCCTCTTAATTACTAAGACTCAGGTTCTCAGGGTCTAGCCTTGTGGCTATGTAGAAAGTTGGGATTTTGAAGGACTTATTTCTGTGGACCTTGACAGGGACCTGGAGCAGCTCTGCACAGTGGCTTTGTCTCAGGAAGTCTGCTCTCTCTGACGCAGTCGTTCTAGTAGTCACTTTTCACGAACTCCAGTGCGGGCTGTGTTCCGGGCAGTGTTGGAGTTCTGTGGTCCGGGAGCCTCCATGGGTGTCCAGGAGGGCATCTGGCACTGGGTGTGCAGGCGGGGTGGGAGCTGGCAGAGGGCTTCCAGGCCCCTCCCGAATTGGCTGGTAGGCCTCGGCTTGGTTTCTCTAGCACCTGCCTGCATTTGCCCACAGTGATCCCATTCTGAGGTAGCAGGTATTCTGATACCCATTTTACTGGCGAGGAAACTGAGGTCCCCTAAGGTTATGGATCTGCCTAAGGTTATGTGGATGACCAGGGTAGAGCCAGGTCCCCAGGCTCCCAGGCTAATGTCATTTTAGCTTTTTCCTGCTTCCTGGAGCCTGGAGAGGACCCGGGTGGGGTGGGGTGGGGGGTATTGGAATGCTCTGGGGGCATATGGGACCTCATGAAAATCCCCCAATTTGCTCCCCTGAACTTGCAAACTCTTTGTGGGGTGAGCACAAGGCAGGTCCTTTGACTTTCCTGGAAGTTGGGCCGTCTCTCAGGGGTTGGAACCAAGTGACCCTGCTGCCGCCTTTGTCCTGTGTCCTCTGACCAGAATGAGCAGACAGCTGCTGGGGGGCTCCCTGCGGGCAGTGGGGTAGCTGGGCTCTGGGCCTCACTGTGATATTCAAAGAGGTAACACACAAAGGCTGGGGTCTCGTGGGATCAGTCCAGAACTCTCCGTGTGCAGCTTTGAAGGGTGGCCTGCCCAGCCTCCACCTTAGGCTGTGGATGCCCATCCAAATCCCCAAACAGTTGCTTCTGGCTAATTGGACAGAGCCCAGCTGAGATAGGGCTCAGAACCCCAAAAATCTTCCAGCAGCTGAGAGTCAAGGGAAGTTCTTACACGCACACACACCCCATCATACCTCTTTGGGCCGTTTTAACATGAACGTAGGCATTATATTCAAAATACTCAGCTCTGCCTGCGTTAGTAGAAAACAGTGAACAGCAAGGCGCGGCCTGGTCCCAGCGGTCCTGGAGGGTAGGCAGGGGTTGTTAGCCCCTCCCCCTCTCCAGATGAGGAAACTGAGGCTCAGAGGTGAAGGGCACTTGCTCAGAGTCCCACTGCTAGTAAGTGCCCGGGATTCACACCCGCTTTTCCCTCCCAGAACTAGAACCTGCCATTGGATTCTCACTTTGCAGTCGCTGCCCAGCCAGGGTTGCCTCTAAGTTGGGCTGTCAGGTCCCAGCTGCTGCATTCTGCACCAGGAAGGTCTAGAATTAGCCAGGTTGGTGGAGGAGCATTGCATCCCCCCATCCCCCAGGAGGGGAAGGGGAGGAGGAGTGATGGAACCAAAAGATGTCCTTGGTGTGTCATGTATGGCCACCTCTGGTGGTGGAGCCGGGAGAGCCCAGTGGCCATGTGCCTTCCTTGGGCACCAGACAAGCTTCTGGTTCCAACTAGGTCTTAGCTGCATGTCCTGGGGCCCAGTATGTCACCTCTCTGTTTCCTTATGTGCAGATGGGGTAGTGGTCTTTTGGGGGGAGGTTTTCATGGGATAAACTACTTGTAAAGAGCTACCTCAGTGCCAGGTGTACAGCTAGGGCACAGTAGTCCTCTTGTTAGGTCTGGATTTTGACAGAAGTGGTGGCGCAGAGTGGCAGGTCTAGGAAAAAACTATCCCAGAGCCTGGCACAGGAGCCCCTAGGCTGGCCTTGACCTCATCTGTTGCTCTGTATTCCTGCAGTCACCCTGGATCCCCTTGTGCAGAACCCTCTCGAGATCCCTGCTCCCAACCGGCAGGGCAGCCAGCTGTTCAGGGGCCAAGGGTTCACAGAGCTGAGTCACACCAGCGTGGCCTCTGGGTGAAAACAACGCTAGGGGCCGGTGTCACAGAGCTGCACCCGTGTCCAGGGCCTCTGCCAGACGGGCACTCCCTCCCTGGGTGCCCTGTCTCAGGACTCAGGAACCTTTCTGTCCCACAGACCTGTTTATTTGTTCATGCTGATAAAGCAGGATTCTCTGGCCTGTGGTTGGGAACAGGCAAAGTGCATTGTTCTGCCGGCTTTTCTTGGATGGGTTTGGAGCCGTGGCCAGGGTGGGAGAGGGCGGTAGGAAGGGGAAATGCATGGGAGTTGGCGTTCTCTCTGTCACCTCCCTGCCCCTCCCTGGGTTTCCTAGCCCGGTGAGGGGCGACGCCTTGGCTGCTGGAGCACTTTAAAGGGTGACAGCAAACCTTGCTTCTGTTGTGGGTATGTCTCAGGACCCCAGGGATAGGGGATAGGTAGGCGCTGTGTTCTGCCTCTAGATCTCCTGTGTCTCACCCTCTGGAGCCTCTCTCTGGAGACCTGCGACACCCATTGGACTGTTTTGCTGACTTGCACTAGGGCTGACTCTGGGCAGTGCAAATGTCAGCTCACTGGGTCCCTACCATGCCGTGAGGTCAGGCCCGTTAGCCGTATGACGAGGACACCAAAGCTCAGAAAGGTTGTGTCACTCGCCCAGGGTCTCATTGATAGGAAGAGCTAAAGGCAGGAGTTCAGACAGGTGACCAGAAGGTACGTGTGCTTGAGCTCTGGGCCAAATAGCTCAGTCTTCATCCTGAGAATGAGGAAAGGCTCTGAACCCAGTTCTAAGCATCCTGGAGTCACTGGTGAATATGGAGGAAGATCATTCATTTTCTCACTCAGCAAACCCTTTGGGTGCCTGTGATGGGCAGGACCTGTGCCGGGCTCTGCAGACTGGGCCTTCCCCCACAGCTTACAGGGAGACTGACCATTCAACCAGGGTCACAGTAACCAGGAGTTAAGGACCAATGAGGTGCTCTTACAGTACTGTCAAGGGTGTCTCCCCATCCCCTGCCCTTACCTTCTGCCTCTCGTTTTAGGGTTGGGGTAGGGCAGTCAGAGAAAGCTCCCGGACAAAGTGAGGTTTAAAGTGAGATCAGCCCTGGCCAGTTTGGCTCAGCGGTTAGAGCGTCGGCCTGCGGTCCAGAGAGACCCGGGTTTGGTTCCTGCTAAGGGCACGTACCTTGGTTGCGGTTTATCCCCGGCCCTGGTTGGGTTGTGCAGGTGGCAGCTGCTCGATGTGTCCCTTTCACATCGATGTTTCTCTCTCTCTCTCTCTTTCTCTCTCTCTCTCTCTCTCTCTCTCTCCCTCCCTCTCTCCCTCCTACTCTATCTGAACAGAAAATGGAAAAATGTTCTCGGGTGAGGATAAAAATTTTTTAAAAAAAGTGAGATCAAAGTGGATCTTACATGTAGGGTCCCCATCGTGGGTGACCATCTTGTTCATGCTTTTTCCCCAGGGCCTAGAATAGGGTTTCTCAACTTAAGCACTCTTGTCATTTTGGGGCCGGGTATTCTTTGCTGTGGGTGCATTCTGAGCATGGTAGGATGTTCAGCAGCATCCCTGGCTTCTACCTACTACAGGCCAGTAGCGCCTCCCACCCTGCTCCCCAGTAGTGACAATCAAGACTGTCTGCAGATACTGCTAGCTGTCCCCCGAGGGACAGAATCATCCCCAGTAGAGAACCACTGACCTAGAACAGTACCTGGCACATGGGGGTGTGTGTACTCACCGAACACTTGTTTGATGGACTTGCCATGAGGGTTACTCAGTACCAGGTACCAGCGGCAGATAGATCTGCATACAGATCCTGCAGAGACAGAGAGGAGGACACCTGGAGCCTTGGTGGCTGGGCGAGCACGTTTCGGTCATTTAGGTGAAGGATGCCCAGGGTGGCCGTGGCCCTGCCAGGAGGACCTTGTGGTGACCTTTCCACGTAACTGCTGCGGGCTTCGTAGGTTTTTGCTCTGGCAGCACAAATGTCGGTGGACAATGTTAAAAAACTAGAGGCTCCATCTCATCATTTGGTTCAAGTCCCCGTGTGATTAGTGAGTGTCTGGTTGGTGATGATTCACTGACAAGCATGTCAAGTCTGGTTGGGGCTGTAAGTATTTATTGTGCACGTGTTGTATGCCCAGCAACCTCTCAGACTCAAAGGGCATAAAGGAAAAGAGAAAAGAGAAAGAAAACCAACCGTGTGTGCCCTCCCCACTGAGCACGGGCTGTTTCCTTCTAGTGTGACCCCGAGTCCCTAACTCTTGTTCTGCAGGTAGAAATCACATTATTGGTTGTCAGAACCTCAAGTGCCCAGCAAAACCAGCCTCACTGAATAAAAGAATGAGTGAGTGAGTGAACGGAATATCAGAGCTGATAAAAATGGCCTGTTCTGGCTCTGGCTGGTGTGGCCGAGCGGTTAGAATGTTGGCCCTGGGACCAAGGGGTTTCGGGTTTGATTCCCGGAACCTGGATTGCAGGTTGGATCCTGGCCCCAGTTTGGGGTCATGCAGGAGGCAACCGATAAATGTGTCTCTCTCACATTGATATTTCTCTCTCTCTTCCTCCCTTTCACTCTGTCTAAAAAAAAAAAAATAATAAAAATAATGGAAAAGTATCCTCAGGTGAGGATTAAAAAAAAAAGTCTATTTTCTCAGAGAGACTCCCTCTCAGGGCGGGTTGGGTGCAGATGTCTGTCATGGTGGCTACACACTGTGCTTCACTTAGACCGACTCGCGGGTATGAGCTGAGCCTCAGTTTCTTCCCCTACAAAATAGAAATGTGTGTACCGCCCCGCGTTTGTTAGTGATGAGCTGAGATGAGAGTGTGGGTGCTTACAGCAGAGAGGAAAGCCGGGTCAAGGGCGTAGGCCACCTCCCCTGTCCGCGGCCCCTCTCCGGTGGGGCAGGTGTTACTGGGAGCAGCCCATGCCTGCCTGGTCGGGGCGCTCCACGGGGTCACGCTCTGCACAGAGACCCCGGCGGCTCCTCCTGACGCCTTCTCACCCACCAGGTGCCCTGTTACTCCTACGGGCAGAAGCTGTCCAAGCTGGCCATCCTGAGGATCGCCTGTAACTACATCCTGTCCCTGGCGCGGCTGGCTGACCTCGACTACAGCGCCGACCGCAGCAACCTCAGCTTCTCCGAGTGTGTGCAGCGCTGCACCCGCACCCTGCAGGCCGAGGGACGTGCCAAGAAGCGCAAGGTATGCGCCAGCCATGCGCCTGCAGGCTCTGGGAGAGGACAGGAGGTGGGGACAGGAACTCGGGCTGCCCCACGCTCACCCCGGCTTCCAGAGGGCCAACGATCAGCCTCTGGGAGCTTTGCTGGGGTCACCCCGGCTTCAGAGCTCCTCCAGCTCTGGGATCGTGGGGTGACTCTACTCCTGGTCATGGGGCTGTGAGGACCTTAGACAGTCACCCAGGGCCTCTGGGCCTGGTTTGCTTATCAGTGAAATGAGGATGATTTGCCTCTGAAGCTCTTTTCAGCTTTCTGTGCTCTGGTGCCGACTTCCCTGTATGGGCCCTGATAGACGTATCACAGCCCAGAGAGCCCTTCAGCGTGTTTGGGAATGTGACTTGGCCTCTGGGTTATCTGAGGCCATGCATTAAGGTGGATGCTATTCTTCATTCATTCATTCGTTCATTCACTCACTCATTCATTCTGGAGGGATTTGCTGAGCCCCAACCTGAGTATGCTCGGCAGGACTAGAAAGATGATAAATACATGGTCCCAGTCCCCACGCGCCTCACAGGATGGTTAGAGAGACCCTCTTGCCAGCAGATAAGGGTAGGACAGTGTGGTGAAGGTGTCCCAGAGGCCTGTGCTAGGGGCTGTGGAAGGCCAGGCAGAGGAGGGACAGGTTACCCCTCCTGCCCAAGGGAGTTTGAAAAGGCATCTTAGTGTAAGTGTGTTTGAGCTGAGACCAGCAGGACAACCAAGAGGTCACCAGGTAAATGAGGCAGAGGGAACAGCCTGTGCAAAGCCTGATGCGGCCCTGTCAGTTTGGCTCAGCAGATAGAACGTCAGCCCACGGACCGAAGGGTCCCCAGTTCGATACCTGGGTTACAGGTTCAATCCCTGGCCCTGGTCGGGGTCGTGCAGGAGGCAGCCCATCGATGTGTCTCTCTCACATCGATGTTTCTCTCGCTCTTTCTCCCCCTCCCCTCTTCCACTCTTATCTAAAAATCAATGCAAAGCCTTGTGTGTTTGGAGAAATCTGTGTCGGAGGCAAGGTGTTGGGCATAACTATGGTTCCCAGATGGCCTGTGCGTCCAGTGTTTCCACGTGGGGGCCAGCGCCAGGCAGTGCTAAGCAAGGCTCGTGGCAACCCTCCGAATCTCTGTTCCCACGAGGCCCGAGGACAGTGAATAACAGAGGGTGGGACCCAGTCTGTATTCCTGAGGGGGTGGCTGGCTCCCTGGGCATTCAGAGGTGGGAGGGTGGGGAGCCGGGTAACTGGCCCTCTCCATCTTCAGTTCCTTCCTTCCCGGCCTGCCTCTCCCCCGTCTCTGATCGTCATTTCCCACCCCCCTTCCCAGATGACTGTCGGGGTTCTCCAGGTTTCCCCTAGCCAAAGAGGCCCTCCATGGACTCTCCTGCCTACACCAGGGAGGGTCATGTCCTCACAGCCGGCCACTGCTGTTGCTGTGGTAAATACATTGCATTCCTGGGGTTGGTTAACGTGGACCAGTTAGATGAAATCGTCATCAGGTGGGTGAGAGGAAGCTCCGGTGGCTGCTCACGGGGCAGCTTCCCACTGGACAGTGACACGGCTAAACTAAGGGCACGCTGATGGCTCCGTGCGCCTGGGACAGAGGAGGTTTGTAACCTCTGTGAACTTCCCTGGCGCTGGGCGGTTGGTCTGGATGGGCAAAGTTCTCCCCTCTCCCCAATTCCTCCCCTCACTTGCCAAAGACAGGAGCACCTAGCCCCCTTCCCTGTTCCTAGACTGGAGCAGACAGTGTCCTGGGCTGCGAGGAGGTGGCCGCCCAGAAGGTGAAGAAAGAAGGGAGAGTGGGGTGAAGATGCTCAGGGGAGATGAGCTTTTGGTTCCTTCTGAAATCACCTCAAGTCTAAGACACTTCAGAGACCATCTGGTCCAACCGCCCCATTGCCCAGATTGGGAGACTGAGGTGGAAGACCGCGGTTAAGAGCCTCAAACAGCTCTGACTCCAAAGTCTTGGCTTGCCACCTACCAGCTGTGTCATCTTAGACCCATTTCTTAACTTCTTTGAGTCTCAATTTTCTTTTTTTTAAATCCTCACCCGAGGATATATTTTTCATTGATTCTGGAGAGAGAGGAAAGGAGAGGGAGGGAGAGAGAAGGAGAAACATTGATGTGAGAGAGAAACATCGATCAGTTGCCTCCTGCAGGTGCCCCGATTGGGGATCGAACTTGCAACCTGGGTATGTGGCCTGACCAGAAATGGAACCCACAACCCTTTGGTGCACAGGATGATGCTCCAACCAACTGAGCCACACCAGCCAGAGCGAGCCTCAGTTTTCTTGTTGATAAGCAGGACAGTGATGATACGTCGTAGGTGATTTCTGCGGTCCTTTCCACTCCCACGCTCCAGGAGGTCTTGCCTCACCTCAAAAGGGCGCTCAGCAGCCTGCGTTCTGCATCACCCTCCCGCCAGGCAGGCTGTCCTGCCACCACCCTCTCCCAAGTGCTGGGCCTGGGCAGTCACCACTGCCAAGAGGACATCGATGGAGGGACAGGACGGGGACCTGGAGCTGCTGGGCTCTCCCAGGGCTTCTCTGGCCCAGCATTCTGTCCCAGCAGGTTGGGGGCTCACAGGACTACCCCACTCCTGCTACTGCGCCTTCCTGCAACCCTGTCACCATGCAGGTGTGTGAGTTCCAAGGTGCCCTCAGGGATGGTTTCCAGTGACCTGCCCAGTGGACCTAAGGGGCTGGGGTAGGCCTCTATTTTGTTAACCATAACCAAGGGGTATGGTGTCTCTAGAGGTTCATTTATTCATTCATTCATTCATTCATTCAGTGTTTGTTGAGCACTACAGCAAGTTACATTCTGGGGGATTCTGTGCTGAGCCCGTGGGCACTGTGAGGGTATGTTAGTAGTGGAGTAGGCTTGATTCTCCACCGTCCCTTTAGACAGATCAAGCCCCTATTGCCCCTCCCAGGCAGCCACTGAAGTCAGCCTGAGGGTTTGGAGCTGGGAAGGAGCCAGGCTTGCGTCCTAATGAGGGAGATAGACAGCAAAGAAAGGAAGAAACCAGAAGAGGTGCCGGTGTAAGTGATCCGCTCAAAGAAAGTCCTCGATAAAATAGCAGCTGGGATGGGAATGCTCACGCACGGGACTGATGATGACTCGAGCTGTCCCACTTGAGGATGATAGCTCCCTCACAGTTACTGTGCCCCCAAAGACTGGGCGACCCTTTTCCAGGCTGCCTCCTTGAGACAGCTCAGGTCCTCTGAGACCCCCTGCAGTTCTGACCCGTTGCCTTGACCCTCCAGGCCTGGGTTAAGAATGGGATTTAAAGTGAGAACAGCTCACTCCCAAGACCCCAGCTACATCCTTTTACCCTTTCCTACCTGAGTGGGGGCCCGCATCCCTGACCACTGAGTGAGTCATTTACCTTTGGACCTTGCAGGATGTGATTTTGGGGCTTCAGAGCCCCAATTGGAAGCCCCAGTAGTGCAGAGGCCAGTGTCGGAGGCTGCCCAGCAGAGAGCCGGGCGGGGGGAGTGCAGGGCTCTGGAGAGCTCAGCTCCGACTGGGCTGCAGGGGAGATAATGCACGTTAAGCACCTGGCTTGGGGCCATGTTTCCGCAGCTCCTGTTTTTAAAGCAGCAACTCCTGGGAGCTGAGAAGGAGGAGGAGGAGGAGGAGAAAGAGGAAGAAGAGGAGGAGGGGCCCTGGCCTGTGTGACTGGGTTGGAATGTCAAACTGTACACCAGAAGGTGGTGGGTTTGATTCCTGGTCAGGGCACATACCCAGGCTGTGGGTTTGATCCCCTGTCCAGGCGTGTGAGGGAGGCAACGAATTAATGTTTCTCTCTCACATCGATGTTTCTCTTGATGTTTCTCTCTCTCTCTCTCCCTCCCTTCCTCTCGCTAAGATCAATAGGAAAAAAAAAAAGAGGAAAAGGAGGGGGGGAGGGGAGGAAGAGCTGCAGAACTGTTTCACACCTGGGCTGGACAGGCCTTGCCAGACCTGGGAAGTAGGAAAGGACAGTTTCCCACAGGCTAGGGCACTCCCTTCCAGTGGTTTTAAGCCACTGAGTGTTAACAACAACGACGCCAGCTACTAGCACGGATGGCATAGTTTAAGCCTTGGTATAATGGCCAGTAAATTCCTGTATTCAGTTGATCTCAGGCCCAGGGTTGGAGATGGGGAGAGGGACAAGGGATCGTGATGCCTTGCGTTCAGGGCTCGGGCAGAGGCCTGGTCAGCGGTCGGGGACCTGGGCCTTGTGACTGCAGCCTGTGGCGCAGTCGGGGAAGGCGGCTCTACAGGCAGAGGTTCTCCTGGTGCTGCGGGCAACCTGGAGCCAGAGGGGCATGATGCCGTGCAGCTCCACTGACCCATGTCTTCCGTTTCCTGCTGATTTCTGGGCAGGGGAGGCTTTTCTTGGTGATGGCAAGTCTGCGAGTAGCTGCCTCTTTGGAAGGATGTTTTGCACACCGATTTCTGTAGCTTCAGTGCCGGGACGAGCTAAGGTAGCGTGTTGGTTCTGGGTTGGGGGTCAGTGGGAGCTGAAGTGTTCTGATGGGCTGCTTACTGTCCGGGTGGCCGAGCCCAGCCCACCAACAGGACCCAGCCGCACCTGCTCTTTCTGGAGACTGCTCCCGAGCCCCTGGGTGTGCAGGCAGAGTCTCGAGAGCTCCTGCCCTGGCTGGATCCAGCACCACCACCCCCACTTTGTGCAGGGCCCGTGGTGCCCCCAGAGCACCCACTGTCCTGGCTCCATCCCCACCTGCCATGTACACAGTCACCCTCATGAGGGCCTCCTCAGACTCCACTTCTGTAAGGCGAGTTGTTGCTGGAAGTGATTTCTAAGGCCCTTTCCAGCTAGACATCTGAGCTGAGGTCGTCTCAGCAACCTCCTTTTTTTATCCTCACCCGAGGACATTTTTGCATTTATCTTCAGGTAGAGCAGGAGGGAGAGAGGGAGGAAGAGAGAGAGAGAAACATCGATGTGAGAGAGACATATCAAGTGGTTGCCACCCACACGA